CTACGAACATTTTCATGTTTGAACCTTCAGACGTGCATACAATGTCTAACTCAAGGGATGAGCCACGTGTCCAACAGAACAGACACCCGAGCAGAACCTGGTTTACACGAGGCTCCCTGCAGCCGGCCAGAGACACAACTTCTTCATTTCTTACGTAAATCTGTGAGAAACACCAAAAAGCACAGAGTTCGACAGGAAACAGGACTTTAGCTCCAACAAAGTGATCATCAACAGAAGATCAGCTGGAGATCTCTCTGGTCCTGGTTCTGCTCTTTAATCCTTCATTTGTTCCGTTTTAAACATTTTAAGAACCCTTAAACACAGGGCCAGTTTTAACTAATAACTCTAAAATCTACTTTTTAATTTTTATCACGTTAAACTTTAAGAACTTGCTCAAAGGCTGGATCAGGTTTTGCTCTCACCTTGGACACGCCGTCCTCGCAGATCTGGATCCGGGACCCGAGCTCTCCCTCACAGTCCGGAGCAGAACCAGAGTCCGGCCTCGGAGAACCACCAAAGTCTTGCCCCTTGTGCGGCTCGCTGCCAGACTGGACCTGCTGGTCCCACTCGGTGTCCGTCCGAACCTCCTCCGGCCGTCGGTCCCGGGCGGTGACTTTCACCGCGGCGTCAGGCTCCGTGTGTCCGGGAGAGGGCACGGTCCACCGGGTCTTCATGTCCAGGACGCCCAGCCGCTCCAGCACCGCCAGCAGCAGCGCGTACAGGGCGCTGAAGTTGACCGAACCTCTCTGAGGAGTTCCGATGGACAAGTTCAACAACTCCAACAAGGTGATGTTCTCCGACATGTTGCTTCGTATCGACCGTTAAACTCTGAACGGCTCAACTTTGCGCTGCTTCCGCCGGTCAGCTCGTGGCTGGCGCTTCTAATTTAATTAAAAGTACACAAACATCGAAGCTAAAGTTCAAAAATAAACTGTAAAGCCTCTTTGGGTTGTTGTCAACGTTACCGAACCGGTTACCGGGTCCCAAATTCCTACGAAGGAACAAACGGAGACGATGTTCGTGCTGCTAAGCTAGCAACATTTACCGGAAGTACATGCATATAATTTCAAAATAAAAATAAATCGTAATTTAAAACATATTTCTAAACAATTACATCAATTTATTGACATAAATCCAGCAAATAAATATGATTACCTAATATATAATTTACCCTAAAATAAAAAAAATTAAGTCTTTGCAATCTTATAGTAAATTCCACAATTCAGTGATTTTATTTTTGAACATTAACCGGAAAATTGTCTTGTAGTTTGTGGAGCTCGAGCTCATGTCACGCGCTTTAGTCGCACGTTGAACAACACACGCGGTTTTCTGTTACTAGGCAACAAGAACAGGTCAAGCTCAACAGGAAGAGCCCGCCGCCTGTAGGCAACAGGCGGGCGATCATGTTTGTGTGTCCGTTGGTCCGTCGTTAAGCGAAATATCTGCTCTACGTGTCCGTCCCTGCTGTCGTCAAACAGTTTATACCATTGATCCTGATGCATGCTCAATAATCCAGGTAGAAAAATCTAAAAAAGTTCAATCTGGTCCTCTGGACATTAAAAAAAAAAAAAAAACAAAGCAAAAAAAAAAATGTAGAAACGTTTCGTCTCTCATCCTGAGGACTTCCTCAGTCTGAGGTGCTGTATTCAGCTCAGTCTCTTAAATAGCACCTTCTCAGAGTGGATCAACCAGTTTGCTGCTGACAACCAGAACCAGCTGATCACATGCTCAAGAAGGACCATCAGCCTAACAATGGATCATTAGCACCTGATGGCTGTTTACTGTTCACAGAGCGCTGAGTGATACTAGCAATCACAGCATTGTAAGAGGGGACAGTTGAACCCGGAGGCTCCACCCCTGTTTAATGATGGACGATTTCTTTTCACAAAGATGGCCTCCTTTACTCCTCTCTCAAACCATCGTTCCTCTCTGTCCAGGATGTGAACATCTTCATCCCTGAAAGAGTGACCGCTGGCCTGGAGATGAGTGTAGACTGCAGAGTCCTGGCCTGATGATGTTGATCTTCTGTGCTGGTCCATCCTTTTGGCCAGTGGCTGTTTAGTTTCCCCGATGTAAGACTGATCACCCTCCTGACACTGAACAGCATACACAACATTACTCTGTTTGTGCCGGGGGACTGGATCTTTGGGATGAACCAGTCTTTAATGTATTTTGGGGTTTAAAAGCCACTGGGATGTTATGTTTAGAAAATAAACGTCTCAGTTTCTCTGATACTCCCTCAACATCTGGAATGACCACTGGTCTGGGTCTGGGTTCCTCCTTTTCACCTGTTGGCTGACTGGAGTCCTGTTTGGGTTTCTTCTTTCAGGAAGGCCCAGTTAGGATATCCACATTGCTCTAGAGCCTGTCTTGTGTGGGATTTCTCCTTCTGCCTGGCTCCCGAGCTAGTGGGGACGCTGTCTGCTCTGTGATACAGAGTCCTGATGACTCCTAACTTGTGCTCCAAAGGGTGATGGGAGTCAAACTGCAAATACTGGTCTGTGTGGGTGGGTTTGCAGTACACCTCAGTTTGCAAATGTCCTCTATCAGAGACTGAGACCTCACAGTCCAAGAAAGCCAACCTGCCATTTTTACATCTTCTCGTGTGAACTTGATGTATTTATCCACAGAGTTGATGTGGTCAGTAAAATGTTGGACTTCCTGAGATTTAATTTTAACCCAGGTGTCGTCAACATACCTGAACCAATGACTTGGTGGTGTCCCTGAAAAGGACGTCATGGCTCTCTTTTCTACCTCCTCCATGAACAGGAAAGCGTGTCTGATTTTAATTTTAAACTGACCACCTCTACTGCATCATCAACAGGAAGCAAAGAGTGATGTGATATCAAAAGAGACCATTGTTTCATCGGTCTCCATGATGACATCCCTCACCTTGTCCACAAAGTCCATGGTGTTCTGTATGTGGTGTTCTGAGCTGCCAACTAAAGGGATGAGTCCAGACGCCAGATATTTGGAAACATTGTAAGTGACAGAGTTAATCATGCTAACAATAGGTCTTAAAGGTACACCTTGTTTGTGGATTTTAGGTAAACCAGACTAGGTGTGGCCTCCCCTGATTTTATGAAAATTATCAGACTTTCATAAACAGGTTCTGCAATATTTGAAATTTATCTTTAAACACAATTTTTCACCACATTCGGTTCCGATCTGGAACAACAGATGCATCCTGAAAAAAAGAAAATAGTTCTTACAAAGATTGGTTGGAGAAAGATATTTGGTCTGTTCTACACTTTATGAAAGAAAATGGCAACCTTTATGATGATTTGACTGAAAAAATACACATTAAATTTTACTAAAGTTAAATGTGAAAGAGTGATAAAGTCAGTTCCTCCTGCTGTGGTTCAGATGGTTAAAGGTATGATTACATATTCAAATGTTACTCCAAAGAAACCATCTTTGATTATAAATGGTTGTGACATTATAGACAGAAAATGTAATAATAAATTCATAAGGAACACTCTGACCTCACTGCTCTTCCCCTGTACACTGAGAAAACATTGTTTAAGAATTATATCTAAAAAAATAAAAATAAATCTAAACCAAATACCTTTCCTATCCACTGTCACAAAAAACTAAAGAAATACGTTTCAAAATAATGTATGAAATTTATCTTTGTAATGACTTTCTGCAAAATAAATTTAATATAAATACCAATTCCTGTGCATTCTGTAATTCAGATATTGAGACAGCAGAACACCTTTTTTTATTGCAATTTCATTAATGCTTTTTGGAAAGATTTTCAGAATTGGATTGTATCTTCTATTCCATTTTTACTATAATAAAATTTGGACTGTTAACAGGGGATGAAGTTTTAAATTATTGTCATAATTTAATCCTTCTGGCTAAATTTTTTATTCACAAATGCCGTTTCCTGAAAATTACCCCATGTTCAACATTTCTTTAAGTTAAGTAATTTTATTTAAGGAAGTGCTTAAACGCTGCAACCTTCCAAAAGCCCAATCTTTATAGCAGTATACCAATAACTTATTTTAAGACCTGGAACTCCTTTTGCATTTGTAACATTTTTTATTTAGCCGTTTTCTCAAATTGTTCATTTTCTTTTATTTTTATTCACAATTTCTGCTTAGTGTTTTATCATGTCAAATGTGAACTTGTTTTTTTGTTGCATGCCTCGTTATATATATATATTTTTAATTTCTTAAATGCTGGTGAATAATTTGTAAAAAAAAAACAACTAATGACTCATCTGTGACAGTTTGGATGAAGCTATGCTGCCCCACAGTGGTCAGAGGATGTTACTACAACTAAACAAGTTGGGATTTTCTCTTAAACAGTTAAAATACCTAAATCAGCTCATTTATCAAACCTGCCTCCAGTCAACATTCAGGATAAAATCAGTGCAAGTTTCAGATTGTTTTTAAAAAAAAGTCATCAGAGACGACAAGGACCAACAATTTTCTGACAGTGAAATGTGTAAAATCTTAACACGGAATGATCTCATATAAATATTGATATTAATAATAGAAACAAATGTCTTTGTGGACCTAAATAAGTGCTTAAAACTTCAAGAATGTCCTAAAATCAGAATTGTTGTCATAGCCAAGTGTTTGTTAGAGGGGTGCAGTGAGTTTATCATCCCTGAATAAAACAAATATAACCGATACAGGTGCTGGTCATAAAATTAGAATATCGTGAAAAAGTTGATTTATTTCAGTAAATCCATTCAAAAAGTGAAACTCGTATATTATATTCATTCATTACACACAGACTGATATATTTCAAACGTCTATTTCTTTTAAAGTTGATGATTTTAAGGACAACTAATGAAAATGATTCTAATGTTATGACCAGCACCTGCATTATGAACAGATATTATCCATGAATCTGCAGTCATGACTCGTTCTTATCATTTAAAGTGGACGCTAAACCGCACACACATTTAAAACAGTGCTGGTTTATGTTCCAGATGGACCAAGCTCAATAATATTAAAATATTGTTGAAGTTTGAAATGTGCCGTTGACTCTTTAAGTTTATATGTGGACGTGCATGCTCTCTGGCATTCATCAGGCTGCGCTGCAGCACCCTCCACACCCCTACTTCCCACAGCATAGTACATATTTTTGTGCCTTTTTTAAACTTCCACAGCGAACCTTTACCAAACCACAACTCAGCATCATCCCTAACACAACGTTATTTTTCTCTTCATCTTTATAAATCAACAGAACTCTTCGTCTGAAATTAAAAACGTTTTCTTCAGGATCGTTTTTTGGCATCCCTGCCTTCCCGCGCAGACAGGAAGTCGGAGATGAGTGTAGCCAGTTTCCTTGGCCTCTCTAAAGCCACAGAGTGACCGCAGTTGTCCAACACCTCCACCTGGCAGCAGGGCAACGCCGTCTGGATCACCGTGGCGCCGGAAACGTCCAACACCTAAGAGGGCAGACAGGTGAGTCAACGCAGGTTTATTTTGGTCCCAGCCATGCCAGCTGTGTGGCTGGAATGATACGTACGTCAACCAGGAATACCAAATTACCCACAATGCAGCAGAACAGGCCAACATTAAAGCACAGTTTGCAGCAACAGACAGTTTTCCTGATGTAATCGGAGCTATGGACTGCACACACGTTGATATAAAGGCACCATCACAGGATGAAGACGTTTATGTTAACAGGAAACATTTTCAATCAATCCAAGTGTAAATGATATGTGATGCTCTAAAGAAACTAACCAACATGGTGTTGAGGTGACCGGTTGAACCGAATTAATTTAATCATCCCAACATGTCTAACCATTTTGCTTTAATTCCTGCAGCTGTGCTGCTCCGACTCCACAGCATTCACACTCATCGTCCCCCTCACTCCTCTTGCTCCTGGTGCTGATGTCATCGTC